GAATGGGATGATTATAATGATTATAACTGGAATTAGTAGGTTGGAGGCAAATTCAAGCAGATGAAGGCCTTAATCACAGATGCAATAATGGCAGTCAAAGGGAGACGGCAACTGCAATGATATTAATGGTCATATAAATCATGATTGATTATCATACTGGAAAACAAACATGACAATTGTGATCAGGATTCAACTAATAATAATAACAAAAATAATGGTAACCATAATAGCGCAATTCACTGTAATACTTGACACTGATGGTAATCTGATATGAAAGATAATAATACTGATAATGGTGATAATACTGAGGACAACATAGCAACAGCAACATTAACAATAATAATGATTAAAATAGTGATAGAGTGACAACAATAATGATAATAATAATGATACTAATATATCTACTAATACTAACCTCAAATAGTAATAATAATAATGATGATAAGGATAATGATGATAAAATCCATGATAATAATAACAATAATGATAATAATAATAATAATAACAATAATAATGATAATAATAATAATAATAACAACAATACTACTAATAATGATAACGATAAAACTAATAACAACAATAATGAAAATAAAAATAATAACAATATTAATAATAATAATGATGGAAACGACAGCAGTACACATAACGGCCCGGGACGCCCCCGGAGGCGCGAGGCCCTTCGGTGCCACTTGCCTGCCGTCGTTATCGTCGCCTTGACCAACATAACAGACTATAATTGGAACAGTTAAGGCTCGGGAGAAAAAGCCACGCCAGGTATCCTTGCGAACGGCGGCGGCAAAAAGGACCTCGTGACGCAGGACTCGCCCCCCCCCCTCGCTCAGTCCCGGCAGGGGGCGAGGAAGGAGGAAGGAAGGGAGGGAAGGAGGGGGGTGGTTGGCGAAGGAAGACGAGGAGGAGGATAAGGGCGAAGGGGGGTGGTAGGAGGGGGAACGGAAGGGAAGGTCGAGGGTTTTGGGGGAGGAGGAGGGGGGGAAGGAGGAGGGGGAGGAAGGAGGGGGAGGAAGGAGGAAGGGGAGGGAGGAGGAGGAGGAGGGGGAGGGGGTAGGAGGAGGAGGAGGGGGAGGCGAAGGGGGAAGGAGGAGGAGAGAAAGAGTAAGGGGCCCGGGAGAGGGGAAGGAGGTGGAGGAGGAAGAAGGAAAGAGAGATTTAGGAAGAAGGAAGAGGAGGAAGAAGGGGGTGGGTGGAGAGGGGAAGCGGAGGAGGAAGGGAGAAGGAAGAAGGGAGAGGAGGAGGAAGGAGATGGATGGAGAGGGAGAACGGAAAGTGGGAAGGGGAAAGGGGAGGAGGAAAAGAGGAAAGGGTTGTTGATTAACGAAACTTATATTATATGCCGTTTTTTAATACTGGAGACTCGTTTCTGGAGGGGACAAGGAGGCAAGTCGAGGAGGAAAAAAACGAGTTTGAGATTTTTTACTGGATGCACGAGAGAGGAAGAAGCGGGAGGGGGGGGCAGGGGATGGAGAAGGGAAGAGGATGAAGGGAGAGAGGGATAATGAGAAAGGGTAGATAAGGAAGGGGAGGCAGGGAGGGGGAAGAGGGGAAGGGAAGTAGAGAGGGGAAGAGGGAGGGAGCAGAGAGGGTGGGAGGGGGAAAGGGGAGAGGAAGGGGAGGGGAGGGGAGAAAGGAGGGAGTGATAGGGAGAAGCAGAGAGCGGGGGGCGGGGGAAGGACAGAGAGAAGGGAAGGAGAGGGGAGGTTAGATAGACAGGGTAGGAGAAAGGGAGAAGGAAAAGGGAAAAGCAGAGAGAAAAGGAAAAAGGAAAAAGATTAGTGCTGACGAGGAAGGGACGGTAGGAAAAGGGAGCAAGGAACATGAAGGAAGGGGGTGAAGGAGGGAGAGGAAGGACAGGGAGACGAAAGAAGGAGAGGAAAGAGATGAGGAGAGACAAAGAAGGAAAGATGGAGGGATGGAAGGAAGGAGGGATGACGTGTTGGAAAGAATGACGTATGGAAGAACGGAACGGAAGAATGGGGAAAAAAGGGTGAATAGAGGGATGGAAGGATAGAAGGATAGGAGAACGGGAGGCTGGAGGGGCGGAGGGCAGGAGTGGTGTTCCTCCTGCTGCGCCTGGAGGAGACTCGCGATCCTGCTGGTCGGAATGCGAACTATGCAGCAGCCAAGGACGCGGCGGCCAGTGCAGGGCGGGACAAGGACACTGCTGGCATCTGTCACCTGCTCGCGCTCGCAGCCTCTGTGCGTGCGTGCGTGCGTGCGCGAGGGTGTGGGTTTGTTTATGTGTGTGTGTGCGTGTGTGTGTGTGTGTGTGTGTGTGTGTGTGTGTGTGTGTGTGTGTGTGTGTGTGTGTGTGTGTGTGTGTGTGTGTGTGTGTGTGTATGTGTGTGTGTGTGTGTGTGTGTGTGTGTGTGTGTGTGTGTGTGTGTGTGTGTGTGTGTGTGTTTTGGTGTGTGTAAGAGGATGTCATTTTTTTGTATGTTCGTAAGATGCAATGTAATACGTTATGATGACGCAATGTGAAAAGAATAGTGATCTGTCCCGCAAGCTCTGATCCCCCCCCCCCCAACACACACACGCAAGCACACACACACTCACACTAACACAGTAACCCCCCCCCCCTCGCTCTCGACGCCCACACGCCTCACCCTCTCGGCCGATTCGCTTTTGTTTTCCCTTTTAGTTTCCAGATCTTTTCGGTATTTTTAGGTGAACTATTTACCGTGCTTTATCGTCTTTTCTTTATTTCCCTTTTATTTTCTTTTGACTTCTTTAATTTGTTTAGTTTTTTTATCATATTTTTGTTTTGTTTAGTAACAAAAGTAGCAGTTACTTGGAAACAATAAGATGATTTTATGTGATTTCAGTTTAACGTCACGAAACTCCCTTTTGCACATTAAGATGTAATGTGCAAAGGTTTGTGCATGTGACTCTTGATTTTTTTTATTCTTTATATGTTTTTGATGTTAAGGATTTTTTTTTTTTTGTATTTTTTCTACTTTATTTATTGTACTTTTCATTTTAAGGCTGATTTTTATTAATCTTCAAGGTCTCTGCCTTTGTCTCTCTCTCTCTCTCTCTCTCTCTCTCTCTCTCTCTCTCTCTCTCTCTCTCTCTCTCTCCCTCTCTGTCTCTGTCTCTCTCTCTCTCTCTCTCTCCTCCTCTCTCTGTCTCTCTCTCTCTCTCTCTCTCTGGCTCTCTCTCTCTCCCTCTCTGTCTCTGTCTCTCTCTCTCTCTCTCTCTCTCTCTCTCTCTCTCTCTCTCTCTCTCTCTCTCTCTCTCTCTCTCTCTCTCTCTCTCTCTCTCTCTCTCTCTCTTTTACTTCTTGTTGTATTGATTTCTTCTCTAAAACCTATTTTCATAAATGGAAGACGGTTGTATTCTTCGTTATAACTGTTTAAAAATTACAGCAATAATGGGAATGCTGTTAATAAGTCTGGGGGAAATATGAAGTGTTTACGCTTTGTATGTGCCAATTATTTGCAGGTCGCTTTGTTAGCGCCCTTTGTTGTGTAACTTCCCTCTGTTACGCGATGCAAGGCAGGCAGCCATTACCTAACGTCTCGCAAAGCAGTGTTAGGCAACTGTTAGAACACCAAATATCGCTGTTATCTCACCGAGAGGATCGCACGGCCATTGAATAACTAGGAAATCGAAGACTACAGCGTTCGTGTAAGAAATATTTGAAAAGTGTTTCTTGCGTGTGTCCCTTGGGTCCCGGATACAGCGGCGCCCCTCTACGATACCTGGCGGCGATGGCAACGCTGCTGCTACATTACCTGGACACGCGCTGGCAACCCTGGGGTAGCAGGCGCCAGCAGGTCCGGGCAGCGGCAG